TCTATATATATATATATATATATATTTATAGATTCATTTACAGTATCAGAGTGATGCTTAGATCCAGTGGCATGTGCAGAAATATCAGGCAGTTGCTGCTCTTTCCTTTAACTTTTTATTTCCAAGATAGAGGGGTTGTGGTCAAGGATGGCCAGGATGATCTTGTCCATATACTGTCGCAATCTGTAGTTTATCTCCTCCTGTTCTTTAAGAGCTTCCATGAGCTGAAATACAAATTTCAAAAGCTAAGCATCTACTGTAGAAGGTCACACATATCTACAACATTACGTAAATACCATTCAGAGGTGGTTCAGTCTGTCTCAGACCACCTTCATGTTTAAAATTACTTGGATTCCTTTTAGTGGTAACATATACTTTGCTTTTATCCTCCCCCAGCCTTAAAGCAATGGCACAAAAAGACAAACTGCTGTCTTATGGAAGGGGAGGTAAATGCAAAAAAAGTCTCACTGGCACTTTGCTCGAGTCAGCAGCATACCCAGAAACAGCATTCAAGATTCCCAAACCAGAGTCCCATGTTTTGTGCACCAAGATATACTGGTTCCTCAAGGACTGTGTAATCCCCTTTTCCACATTTTAGACATTAAGTTCATAATAATTTTTTTTAAAGCACTTGGAAATCGATTTGAAGAGGATGCTGTAATTACAGGATATGGAGAGAATTTTAAACGGCATGCTGAGGCCATAGTTTCCCTTCCAATAAAAGAGACTTTTCTTTAATCAACAGTACTCCGCATTTATGCTAGATTAATCTACAGGGAATATTCAGTTCTTGTACTTTCAGTGAACCCTTTCAAATTCTTAAAATGTCTCTCTCTAGTCAAAGACAAATTGGTCTTCATACCCTATATATTTAGGTTGAGATTATGAAAGCTAGCTAAGGAGATTTAGACTCTCAGTTCCCATTAAAGTTAATGAGATTAGAGCACTGAGATCCCATAGGCGGTCTTTAAGCAATATTATAATTTGAGGCTGGGATTTTTACCTTCCATAGGAACTTGCCAATCGTTTGGCATCACAGGCTTTTTGTTGAAAAGGTCTGTGACATTCAATAAGCATGGCCCAGAGAAAACCATAAAGTGAAGCAGAAACAAGATGCAGCTTATTCTCGGAAAGGAATGCCAGAGACAAGTCTGACAGCATCTTAGTTTGGTAGCAGCAGAAACTTTGTTTCGTTTTGAGAAAGTTTCACCAAATGACAGTGTGCAACCAATATTCACACCCAATGTTTCTTAAGCCCTCGAGTGCTCCTTGGAAGTCAACAGGGCTACTCAAGTCAGGCATAATACCTGTATTACAACTTCCTTCTGTAAAAGTATAAAACAAGATTGCTCTGTTGAACACTTAAATCAGTTGCCTGCATATGCCCTGGAAGTCCACAAGCCTTGGGATTTGAAAGCATCTCTGGACTCAAATCAGCTGGTCCCCTGCCCAAGTGCAAGTGTTCCTAAGTGTTAAATCAGATTCCTGTTTGAGTGCTGCTTACTTCCCTGAATCTCAATAGAATGGATTTGGGTAGAGAAGCTTTGAAATAGCAGAATTAGGGAAAGCCTCAGCAGAGGGTCAGGTACCATAAATCCACCAACTTTAATGGAGCTATACTGAGTCATGCTGGGGCAACTCAAAACCAAATCTGAGATCTTATTTTTTTTTTTTAAAAGACCTATAAATAGGGCCAGTCACTTACTGGAAAGAAAAGGGGGCCTATATCAGAAGGCAATGCACCAAGGAAACAGCATTACATAAAAGGTTAGATAGCATGATATAAATTCTTGTAAAAACTGCATTCAGAAACCAAAAGCTCACAGTTTTATTTACAAGGAAATGAGCTGGTTTCTTCTAAATATCTAAAAACATGGATTCCATGTAGCTCATGTTACAATGATATTCCACAGCTCCCTGAAGAGTGGAATTGTATGTTGCCAATTGGTTATCTTAAGACTGGATACCTTAGCAGCATCCCCCTCAGAGAACCTCATTACAGCTGGCATCGTTCTACCATCATTTGTATTACCTCATCTCTTGATGCAGAGTCTATTTCAGCAGCCAAGGACTGGGCTTTTGTCTGTGTTGCAAACAGATTCTTAGCTTCGTAAAGACTAAGACTTAGGATCTGTCCGTTAAGGTCATCATTCTGGTCACGAAGTTTCTGATTTTCCTATAAAAAGAAAAGATATTGCAACCTGTTATAAGTTTAAACAAATCCTCAGGAGAAATAAGCAGCAGTTCAGGTTATCTGGGCACACCTTATGCCTGCTGGGTGCATCACTATTCATCTTCATGAACCGTTCTTTCCAACTGTACAGCTAGTACCTGTATCCACTCTGAGAATGATCAAAACACTGAGCTAGGGACAGACATTCAAAAAGCCTGACCCTGAATGATTCAATCTTTGCAGGTTATTCTAACCTGGCCAGGCTGAGCCAACTTGCAACTGGACAAACATTCTCTCTGGACTGAGGAAATGCAGGCACATGC